GGGGGCCGTGCCGAGGGACCCCGCACACCCCGAGTGTCCCCAGTGCCACACCCCGGGGGTCTGGGGTGCCCCACACACGCGTTGGGAGCTCCCATTTGGGGGGTTCAAAGGGGCGGTGCAGACCCCAGGAACCCCCCAAAATCTGCACCACCCACGAGGGGCTGACCCAGCCGCGAAAGGACAAGATTTTCCCCCTTTCCCCCCATTTGTGGGGTGGTTTGAATCGGGGCCGCTTCCCAGCGGGGGTCGCAYCCCGCTCATCCCCACCTGATCCCGGGCAGCGATCGAGGCGCCGGCGCCTTTAATTTCTGCCCGTCTGTGATTTTCTGGAGGTTTTTGCAGTTGGAAGTAGGTCAGGAACTTKTTTCCAAGCCATTAAATGAAGTCCCCGGGTTCGCAGCGGTGTTTGCGCCTCCTCGATCGTCCATCGCGCCCTCCTCACAAAAATCGCAGCCGATTCCCCTTCCCGGGATCTCTGGGCCTCCGCAGCGAGGGAGGCGGCGGCAGAGCCCGAATGGGCCAAAACGCCTTAAACTGCCTCAAAAATTGCAGGGGGTGCTGGGGTGGTCAGGGTGGGGATGTGGGATCCCGGAGCGCATTTGGGGTGGGATTGGGCACGGCTGATGCTCCGGCTGGGGCGGGAGGTGACCGGAGCTCCAGGGATGCTCCATCGGCCCCGGGGCTGTGGAGAACACTCCCTACGGATCGGGAATCCCGCTCTCCAGCCAGACTCTACCCTGGGGGTTTCTCCCCCAAACCCCGATAGTTTTTTGGGGCCAAAACTCCCAGAAATTAGGGGGCGGATCGGGCATGGGGCGAGCGATGCTCTCTCAGCTCCTTTKGGGGAGAGACAAACCGAGCCAAATCTCTTCAAAACTCGGCGAAATGAAAAGTTAAATCCCTGGCGAGCCTCGGGCATATGGTGTGCGGGAGGAAATCAGAGGCTGCAGGATAATGAGCCATCGGGGGGTCAGGGAGCCCCGCCCGGTGGGGAGGGGAGGGGAGGGAGGGGGTGGGGGAGAGCTCAGAGCTCAGATGCTGCTGCGGGGATGGAGAGCAGCAGGAGCAGCGTCCTGCCTGGAATAGGGAGAGCTCAGAGCCCCTTTTGGGGCCTAAAGGGGCTCCAGGAGAGCTGGAGAGGGACTGGGGCCAAGGGCTGGAGGGACAGGACACAGGGAATGGCTTCCCAGTGCCAGAGGGCAGGGATGGATGGGATATTGGGAAGGGATTGTTCCCTGGGAGGGTGGGGAGG